AATGAAATAAACTAATAACTGGCTGCGTGCTGCTATGGCAACGGCTTCTTCTTTAGGAAGGAGGGTTCCTGTGGTGGTGCACACCCCCACCTCCCTGACAGGCACCGGGAGGGAAAAAAGGTTGGCATTGAGCTGAGAAAGCCCAAACTCTGGAGAGGAAAGCAGCAGCGTCTGATTCCCTCGGCCAGTTTATTCCTGTCTGAGCAGAAGCAGCTGCTGGATCTCAGCTGACAGAAACCAGGCTGCAAAGCTAACAATGAGAAAAACTAACCATCATACTTCCTCCTCCCAGCTTCATCTTTAAAGGTCTCAGTTCATAATTTCACGTCAGAATTAATAATTACATCTCTTCTCTCCTGAGTCATGAAATTTAAAATCTAAAAACCCAAACAACTTGTGGTGATCACGAATAATGGGAGTCATTTTAATTAGATTAAATGTTTGCATCCTTCTTCAGTCTGTTGATGTTTATGCATGTCACCATGACAACTAATCTGACCCCAAACTTTCAGAGGAACCTTGCACCAATAAGATGCTGGATTGCCCCCTTTGGGTGATGATGCAGACCGACAGCAGAAAGATTCACTTCATGCTTCATTACACCAGAAATAATCATAAACTTCCAATTTGGAGACGAAATCAAAGGCAGTTCTGCTCTTAGAACAGCTCTACCTTCCAAACTTATCTTTCTGCTCTGACTTTACATTTACAGAGAAATTAATAATAACAATCAGATTAATAATTACTGGTGCAATTAAGAAAAAGTCTGCTGATACTGATTTACATAAACCACAGCCAGAACAAAATGCTTTTCATTCTTATTATGCCCTCTGCAGATGGCTTAAAAAAATCATTATATGGAAATAAAACGAATTGGAACATTAAAGTCGTAGGGAAACGGCTGTTCCAACTGTTGCATTTCCGAATTCTCCTGAGCGGTGCACGACTTTACACAAGTGAATATAAGTGGCCGGCCTCTTGGAAGCATCTTGCTAACCAGTTAGCAACTTAGTGCTAGCAGGTCCACAATGGGAAATTCCATTGGGACCAAGTAGCACTAAATTGGTGACTTAGAAACGACGCTGTCAAGGAACGCTATGGACAGCGGAAACATGCAAGAGGAGGAGAGTTTAGTGTCGGAGGTCGTGGATGAGTCTCCTCCGTCATCCATTTTTTATTTAGAGGAGGAAAGCGGGACGAAGATGTTGTGGAAGAGGACGCCAGGGCGGCAGAAGCTTGGTTTGGTGTAGAAGGCTTCCAGCCGTACATGTTTGAGCCCTTACCTCGCAACGCTGCCAGTTCTGTTAGCTCTACGCCTGCCGAAGACACAGACGTCCATCCCCGTGAACACTGGGACGCAACTCAATGGGAAAGGAAAGGATTCTGATTTCTGATTTCATCCGTTGCATATATTAGCTGCTACATATGAATCAAGATGCCATGACTGAAAAAATTTGATTGACAGATGACCGTTGATATATGATTGGCCGAATTTAGGTGAACAAGCTGACATATAACTAAACTGGCCTTCATAAAATAATGAAAAAAAAACAAAACACAGATTTTAAAACAGAATTTCTTTTTAAATAGAAATGTTCTAACTTTTGGGACAATACGGTCTGATAAAGAGTACATTTATATACATGTTTAAACCAGAATATCAAATTTAAATATGACTTCCCATGACTTTAAAAGTCATTTATAAAAGCATTTACTGTCCCACCTGGACAAGAATTAGTGGAAAACAGCTGGTAGAACTGATGCTGTGATCTGCCCAACTTCTTTTTCAATTAAATAGATTTCCTGTTTAAAACCATGTGTCATTTTAAAAAGCATCCTATTAATTATGAAGCACTTATTAGAGATGAATCAAAATCAATAACAATAAGTTATAAACAGAAACTTTCATTATTCTCCACTGTATTTTCTGCATTTGTTTAGATAAACTGGGATTATAGTTTGATCAGAAACTTTCTTTAACTAAAAGAAAAAATAATTTAATACTCCCCTCCAAAAAAATAAATTAAAAGAACATAAAAACTGAAGAAATAAAACAAAACAAAAAAACAATGAAACTGAAAAAAGAAAATATTCAAGCAAAAAGAAATTCCAAAAACTAGTTTTCAATTTCAACTTTCAAACATGCTGCCCCTAAGTGGGGGCGGGCTTAGACTAATGATTGACAGTTTAGGTGCTTGATGCATTCAGGAACCACCGGAACCAGAAGTTTATTTTTTTAGATTCAACTCATATTTTTCAGTATATTATCTAAAGATTATAAAGCACTACTTTTTAGTTTCAAAGCAGTCAAGTTTCTAAATAATTTTTTAGTTTCATATGATTTTTTTTATCTAGTTTGAAAAGAACATTTTGAACTTTATGGCCCCAATTTATCTCCCTATTATCCTCTTATCATATCTAGCTCTAGTTAAATGATTTTGAACGGGCTGCTACGTTTCATTAAAGGCTGCTGCTCCTTACTGGGTGGCAGCCTGTTTAAAGGAGGATAAAATGTGAATTAAACTAAAGATTTAAAAAATGATTATTATTCATCTCCTTCTGTGTGAAGGCGGTAAGGTTTGCACTAAGAGTTGGGAGCTTTTTTCACACTCAGAGATGATCAACATCCTTAAACTGCAGATCATCACAAACTCCTCTAGACTTCAGATCAGGTCCCTGCAGCCAGGAACCAATCAGCAGCGAGCTCCCTCCCCACTGATACGTTTCAGTTTAAAGCCACAGCTAAAGTTATCTTGGCAGCAATTATTAAATGTTCCTTCCATCAACGTCGGACCCCGCAGCAGCATCAGCGTTAGCGGCCAATTAACTGGAGAGCGAGGGAGAGCTCCCCACTCTGCCCGTTAAGACGAAAGTGGCAAGGTCACCTGACCTCCACCAGCTCATCTCCAAATCACACGGTTTCATAACCAAGCACTTCAGGTTGGCACAGAGGCAGAGAAGCAAAAAGTATTTTTTTAGAAGAAAATTGGTCCCTGCTGGTGATTAACAGCCCATCCAGTCTCATCCTCACTCTGTTTATCTGCTCTGTAAGAGAATCATTTTCTGCTGTAACAGACCCGTCTTTACATGACTAATGCAGACTGAAACACTGGAAGTGCTGACTTAATCTGACAGAAAATAATCCCTTCAAACAGACTTTTTTGGGGGGTTTTATATCGCAGCAAAGCTTCAAAAATGGCCAAAATATTTTATCTTAAGTATATAATCAATTAATTAATCAATTATTGAATTAATCAACTAATTTTGTAATCGATTATTTGCTAACTGGAGTATAGAGACTCTACAACATGTCTTTAGCTGACAGAGCGACCCACTTAGAGCAGGAATTATACCAAGATTGTAAAAAAAACAAAGACTAAAAATATTTTGATTTTACACACTGTTAATCTGCTCTATCCAGAACTCCTCAAGTGGAAAAGTTTTAGTTTCACCTGGATTCATTCTGAAAAAAATCTCCTTTAAGGAACGTTTGGCTATCGGATTATTAATCGATTAATAGAAAAAATAATAAACAGATTAATCAATTAGCAAGATAATCATTAGTTGCAGCCTTAATTCAAACTTTAAATAATTTTTTCTTGTTTTTCTTGAGGGTTCAGCCTCGTCTCTCTCGTTGTTCCTATCAGGATTTGGAGCCGATCTGAGGAAAAGGCTGAGTCACTGAAAGACAGACGTTTCCAACAACAGAATAGACTCTAAAACTAAACAAACTGATTTTAGAAGCACATTCAGACTAGGTCTAAACTGTCCACAGGTCCAGCTGATATCAAGCTTAGATACCTCAGACACCCCACCTGCTGAGATTCACCACAGTTTGTCTTCTATTGGCTCTATGTACAAATCAGTTCATCCAGTAATGAAAGACAGGAAATAAAAGAGCTGCCTTAAGTTCAGCAAGTAGTGAACTTGGAGCAGTTTGTTTCCCAGCAGCTGCAGCCCAACAGATTATTACTTAATAGTTTTAAAACATAAATTTCTTCAGTTTACTAATCTGCAATACTTTTTTTTCTTGTCTTTCACTCTAAGGTTTCCAACTCAGTAGTGCTTGAGCTTGAAAGTTATTATTTTAACTGAGCTACTCTAATTCATAAAGTTGGCTTTTATTTTATTAGATCTTAATCTTTGTCTTCAAATGGATCAAAATTTAAAATTCAAATGCTTTTTTAGCCTCTAAATGCATCAAACAGGCTAGTTTAAAAAAATCCAACAAATATTATGGGGCATTAGTTGCAGCCTGTTAATGTCTTTTTGGCCATTTTTATGACGGATTAATGTAAATAAGGAATCATTCCTAAACCAAAGTAACATTTCTGTGAGAGATGATCAACCATTAAAAAGAAGAAAGTGTTCAACCCGTCACACCCAGCAGGGAATGCGGCGTTGGCCGGTGAATAGGAGTCAGTGCGTCACACGTGACTCACTCGGCCTTCGATTCAGCTGCATCCACCTGTTTGTTCAGGGCGTAGGAGGGACGCAAATAATCACAGGAGCCATAAAGAGCAGGCGCCTGCCGCTGCGTGAGCCCTAACACCTGCTCTGTACGACACCATGGCCGCTTCAATACGTGTGGGTGACACGGTGACAGCTTTAAAGTGCACCTGCATCACTTTTCACTCTATTTTTGGCTGCTGTGGGAGTGAAACATGAATGTTTCTACAGAACCAAGCATCCAACAAGTAAAAGTGAAGCTCAAAACATTGGAAACAATTCCTAATTAAAAAATAAAACAATGATACTGCATGACTTTATCTGGCTGGACTGTTGGTTAGACATTTCCATGATTAGTTTTCAAGAAAGAAAACCAGATCACTCAGGAGGACCTTCAGAAAAGATGTGAGACTAAGAGTAGAAAGCTTAGATTTAAGAACTGCTTAGTAAGTTGGGGAATTCCAGACATGACGGCATCAGAAGTCCCCACAGTAATCAGCACTAGTTAGTTTAAAACATCCTGTTTACATGGCCATGTGAAACAGTCTTACCTTCATAAGAACAGACTCGCTGAGCTTTTCTCTGTTGACGATCTTTATGGCGACCTTTTGACCTGTGACACAGTGGATGCCCAACTTCACCAGACCTGAAACACAAACATTAAACATCATTCACATCAATTCTAATGCAACATGACTGGATTCCAAAGGTCAATGATTTGGTTAAAAAAGTGAACATTCAGGTCAGAGGTCATGAATGGAGGGTGAATGTAAACTGGTTCTCAGGACCTTGAATATTAAATTTTTTTTTCTTTTCCCAGTGTTTTATTTTCATTACACGGCCACAAGTACAGAGCAACAAAATTCACCTTCTGCATTTAACCAATCCCCCTGGGGAGCAGTGGGCTGCCAGTGTGTGGCACAGGGGAACAGTGTGGGGATAAGGGTCTTTGCTCAGGGATCCAGAGAGGCAGTCTGTGGGAGTGGGACTGGAACTCAGAACCTCCGGATTCCAAGTGCACCGCCCTATCCACTAGGCCACCACTCCTGCAAATCTCACAGCAGAAAAGCAATAAAAACCATTCAGTAACCCAGACGACTATCAAAACCTTCACCAAACCAACCTGCTCCCCACCGGTCCGTTATGCCGGGTAAATGCTGTACGATATTTTCGTTGATCTCAGCTAAAGCTCAAACTGTACGATGAAACCGCAGGATTTGAAAAGTTCACAGCTAATAGTGTCTGTTCTTCCACGACACGGCCCAAAACTCTGATGCGATCACCCTGCTCACACTACATGTCAAGAAACCACACGTCAGACTCAGGCGTTGGTCGGACTCATCAACCTGGAAGAGGAAGAACTCCTTTGCGCCAGGTTTTTTGTAAATCGCCGGATAGCTCTGCTTCAACAGCAGGATTTTCTAACCAACACCTCAAAAGGGCCGACTGGATTTCCATGTTTGATTTTCACCTGACCTTACGATTCCTGATTGGGAGGTGGTCGTGTGGTCGGTCCTGAAAGGGCAAAAAGTCGTATATGCCCTGCTTTAGTAAACAACCAAATTCATTCACACCTATTAGAAATCAGGGCATGTTAAGCACTCTTCTCTGCTTCCATCCCTGCTACTAATCATCTTGTTTAAACATTAGAAAAACCGTAACTGTGAAACATGAGGATAATCTGTCATAAAACCTACTAATGAAAGGTAATTCCACTAGACCTGGTTTGTAGTCTCCTTTTATCTGTGCACCCATAGGCGGAATAAAAGTCGGGCATCCTGAGAATTAGCTCTGAAATTTTGCTAACTTTCAATACAAAATCAAAATAATGTAAAACAGAAAATCAGATTAATCAGTTGGTCCCATGTAACCCGTGAAATATCCTCCTTTTACAGTCAGACAATTTATCAAGAAATCAGGTAAAATTTCACCGGAATCAGTGTCTAAAGTCATAAAGTAGAGTTGGCATCAACTGACACGAATTCTTTCTCACAGCAGCTTGGTCTGACCCAAGATGGCCGCTCTGTGGGCACACCTCTCACCCGATGATGTGGGGTCTATCCATGTCTATGGCTGTGTCCACTCTTCATGGTCTATAGATAATGAACCCCATATTCACCAAAAGAAACAAAACTTTTCAGTAAATTTGACCGTCCAAGTTCCTTCCGGGAAAAAAGTTTTCTTCTAGCTGGAAAAAAAACATGGAAAAATTCTGGAAAAAAAATGCCATCTGGGAGAAACTTCCAACCCTGCTACAGAACTCAGAACTTCAGGATTCAAAGCTCTGTGCACTGAGCACTAGACCTCCACCTCCTCATGGTATTTATTGTTCATCTGTTAACGCTTCATTTTAATGTAATTCTTATACATTTTTCTAAGGTCCACATTTGTGCGACCATTTTTTCTATAATCCTTTTGCAGCTGTAAATACCAGAATTTTCCCATTGTGCGTCAATAAAGGGATTTTCTATTGTATTCTTTTCTAAAATTCATCCTGCAAACTTTGCCACATCAGCACATTGGAACAGGACTGAAGAGCCTCAGACCAAAACTTCAAAACTGTATTTAATGAATAAAACAGTCTGCATGCCTTGAACCAAACTTTTATAATATAAAGGAGGGATCCTACTTCACACTAAACCACATCTTACAAATATGAGACAAGAGAATGCATGAAATAGCTTCGATGTTCCTGCTTATCAAACATATATGCTGATGGAGCAACCAGGCAGATATAAATGTAATAGATCTGCCTACTCTTACTCCCAGATCTCCTTTTTGTTGTGCGCCCCTGATAGAACTGTTGTAGCGGAACACAAATGTCAACAAGCAATACCTTTATCTTTCCGCAGCCACAATGGCTCTATCCATCTCTATTAAAGCTCTGACACCAGGGACTGCGTGTCTCACTTTGTACTGAAGGTCTGCAGGCGGCGGAGGAAATGCCACTGCGCATATGCACCTCTTCATTACCTCACGCTGCCTGTACATTTCACAGGGGATCATTTTGAAAGGTGCGTTCCCTGCAGGCGCTTCGCTGGGAAATGAGCAAAGGTAAGAACAATGGGGGTGGGGGGGTGAGGTTGGGGAGTGTTCTGACCAGTATGGCAGCCTGGGGCATCTTTTATGTCACCAGTTAGATCTGAAATGGCATCTGGAATGATGTTGGTCAGGTCTCATTGATCTTCGTGTTCCACAAGACAGAGGATGGCTTCATCTGCGTACCATCAATCATGACAAAGAGACCGCTTTAAAGGTTGTATATGTATATGGACCCATTCCTCCCAAACACCACAGAGTAGTATCCGAAAAGAAGCTTAGAACGGCGGGAACACCGGGAACACCGGGAATGCCAGAGAGTCAGAGGTGAAGGTTTGTTCTCACAATGAAAATATTTGAATAGCAAACTTTCTAATTTTCTGCGTGGATGCACGGTGCAGAAGTGGGTACCATTGCTGACTTGCATCAAGAACATTTCGGGTTCAATTCCCAGCCCAGGTTCTTTCTGCATTGAGTTTGCATGTTCTCCCTGAGCATGCGTGGGTTCTCTCTGGGTACTCCTGCTTCTTCCCACAGTCCAAAATAATGAATGTTAAAATTATTTGGCTTCTCTAAATTCTCCTTAGGTGTGAGTGTGCGTGAATGGTTGTGTCCTTTTTGTCTCTGTGTTGCCCTTCGATGGACTGGCCACCTATCCAGGGTGGACCCCGCCTCTCACCCAATGACAGATGGAGATACGCACCAGCATCCCTTGTGACCCAGCAAGGATACGTGTGATAGAAAATGGATGGATGGATTTTTTCTGTGTCAGATACTAAAGATCATTGTTTTCCATCCAAAGTCATCCAACTGATGATTGGGATCATAACTGCTGAAAAAAAACTTTATAATAATGTTGATCCACAAAAAAATTAAGATGACCGAGTTTTAGCTTTGAGTTCATTTCAAGATCTTTGATACTGAAGGAATATTCAGAAATCTTGTATCAAGCCGAGATGAGATTTAATACCGTAATTTTCGGACTATAAGCTGTGACTTTTTCCCCATTTTTCAACCATTTTTCGACCTTGTGGCTTATATAACAATGTGGCTTATCTATAGACTTTTACAACTAACGGCCACTAGGGGTAATACGGTACCTAAAGCTATGGATTTTATCATCCACCATGTTGACGTCACATTTGCTTCAACAGACAAGTAGCCGAGCGCGCGGGAATGCGGACGTCATCCAGAAGCAGACTCTGAGAAAGACGGACATTGCGAGCGCAAGACAGTTTGTGTGACACCCTCATTATGGAAAACAAACGTTGAAATTCATATGATGCAGCTTTTAAGTTAAGGCAGTCAATTTGGCAGCAAACGAAGGAAATAGAACCGCTGCACGTAACCTTGGAATCAACGAGTCAGTGGTGAGACGTTGGAGACGCCAGCAGGAACAATTCTCTCAATTTAATTGTGTTGAAATGTTAAACAGGAGCTTCCCCAAACAGTTGCCTCTTTCCCGACAATCCTCTCTGTGCATGAACCATATGGTAATTAAACAAAAAAAACCTGCAGCTTATAGTCCGGTGTTGCTTGTTTATGTACAAATCATGCAATTTAGCTTCTGCGGCTTATAGTCCGAAAATTACGGTACATTGGTTTATTCAAAACTTAAATCAAACTTTTCAGAGAAAAACATTTACATAAAGTCAAGAAAATGTATTTTAAATTTAAGAATAAAGAACTGCGAGGTAATTTAGACTCTCTGCTCCCACGGGAACGTTTCTATCACTATTATCAGTGTTTAGGGTTAGGGTTAGGGTTCATTAAAAATTATTAAAAGTCATTAAATTAATATCTTTTTAAATTAAGGCCTTAATTGGCCTTAAAATTCATTAAATGTGATTATTGTGGCATTAAAATTGCTTTATAAAAAAAAAAAAAAAAGTTTATAAAAGCAATTAAAATATTTGCGCAGAACTGCTTTTGGTTGATTGTAAACCCGTAGGTTTGGAAAAGAAGCTGGAGGTGGGAAAAAAGCTAGATTTCAACAAAAGTGGCTGGAAAAAAAGGATAACAAGGATTTGGGACATGGCTGCAGAATCCACTGATGAATCGGCCAATGAATTATTGGGCGAAAGAATCAGCTGTCTGATGTATCAGCCTTTCTTTAATGATCAATAATTAATAGATGTAGTAGGAGGCAGTGTAACATGTTTGATACGATCACCACCTTTGCATCAAACTGCTTGAATTTCTACAGTTTTGCATTTTATTTATCAGAGATACATTTCTGTTTCAGCTTTAACTAAAACAAACAAAAAAAAGGTTGAAAGTTCAGAGCCCCTATGGTTGGCTTTTATTGTGAAGATTTTTCTGTCCAGAGGCTGTAAAGCCTTTCATTACTGTTATTAACGCTCTGACACAGTGGACGGAAAATAATTCGAATACGCTGCTAATAAATTGAAAAGACGACATCGATGGCCCCGACATCCAGGCTAATGTTTCATTACCAAGAAGAGAAGGGAAGTCTAGGGGCCATTCGAGGCCCTTGGACTGTTGCTGTGTAAATAAAAATGAGGCAAACGTCCAAACAATCAACTTTCACATAGCTTCATGTTGCCTGATCATGTTCTGGTTTCCATTCAGAACCCAAACTAAAGC